TTCAAAACAATGATCTCATCGCTGCCTGTATGCCCAGTACGACCGAATTATTCAATGCTAGGCTTCACAACAAGTTTAGTACCAGCTTCAGTGGGTTACATTTTGCCAAAAGACATTCAACCGTATCGAACAAATGACTCAAAATTTTGTTTAGAAGTTTCTAACAGTGATCGTGAGATTTTGAAAGATCTTGATATTCACGAGCGAGACATTTGTTCATATATATCTGAGGACATTGAATTTCCTGAAGAAAGTGATGAATACTATGTGGAGTTTCTGAACAGTGCACTCTCATCTGTAAGTAATAAAAGTGATGATATTACTCAAATATTAAAGGAAAAGGTTTGTTTTCCGGTTGAATTTACAAATGACTTAAAGCGGATTACGGACCTATACAACTATGAAAACGCTTATTTTCGGACCGTATTCGGAAATTCAAATGTTTTCCTTAATACAAAACTTTTAGCTCATGCAACTATATTATCAAAGTTTGGATTCAATAATGATATTAATCAGGAGTCTTTTATTAAATGTGCTTTGAAAGTTCAAGAGTTGCAAGATGATCCACCATATGATATACGCAATCGTGGACTCGTTTTGGTTGAATATTTTTATGAAAGTATCACAAAGAGTTATGAGATTGCTTCGATTCCATTTCAAGATTTGGATTGCTTCGAAAATACATTATTTTCTCGATATAAAGAAATTGTTTCGATTCCATTTCAAGATTTGGATTGCTTCGAAAATACAATACTTCCTCCATATAAAGAAATTGCTTCGATTCCATTTGTTCCGATTGAAAAACGTTTGGGTGAATGCTACAACGAGTATTATAATTATCGTCAAGTTTTGGATTGCTTCGAAAATATAATACTTCCTCAATATAAAGAAATTGCATGGAGTCAAAAACCTTTAATTGCAGTAGACGTCGTACCACCTCACATTGTACTTATAAGTGATCCATCATTTGGTGAACCAGATATTCCCACTGTATTAAATCATCTCCGTTTTTTGCGCAACACACTTATAAATGATATTGAATGGAAGGAAAGGTGGAAAGACACATTTACGTCTAATGTTTTTGAGGTTTATAAATGGCTTGACAAAAAAAGTTTAGATAAAAGTATCTGCTTAAAGGAATATATTGAGCCAAATGAAGCATTGTTCTTGAATTTTAATAAAAACGAGGATGATCCATTCGACACTGAAAATTGGGCTTCTAAAACAGATTTAGTTTTGAACTGTGTAAAAGAGGAGGGAAAATATGTAAATCCTCGTCTTGCTAAATACCACTCAATGCTAAGAAGTGCCGGTATCCAAGAAATAAAATTACCAGATTACACAATAAATGTCACGAAATATGATTTTGGAAAAAACATATTAGAATTATTATCAAGACAGGTGAACAATTTGCATGATGTCATTTTTATTGTAAACGGAGAAAAAATATGGGCAAATCAGTATATACTTGCTGCAAATTCCAAAGCTTTTCGTAGAGAATTCACTTCAAGAACCTTTGCAAGCTCAAGTAAAGCTAATCCAGCTACAATCACTATTGATAATTATAATCCCAACTCAGTTCGCATTTTGTTGCATTACTTGTATAATCAGAATATCGATACTGCAATTCAGA